CAAGTGAGTCTCCTGCCTCAGCCTCCCAAGTAGCTGGGACCAAAGGCACCCACCACAACACCTGGCTATTTTTTGGTTGTAACCGTCATTGTTGTTTGGCGGGCCTGGGCTAGATTCAAACCCGCCACCTTAGGTGTATGTGGCTGGCGCCTTAGCCACTTGAGCCACAGGTGCCAAGCCGAAAAGCCCTATGTCTCACAAATTTATCCCATGTTGATAAATGTCAAAAAAATAAAAGCTCTTTTTTTGGTGTTTTTTTTTTGAGACAAAGAGTCTCATTTTGTCACCTTTGGTAGAGTGCCATGCTGTCACAGCTCATGGTAACCTCAAACTCCTAGAATCCTCTTGCCTCAGCCTCTAAGTAGCTGGGACTATAGGCGCCTGCCACAATGCCTGGCTATTTTTTTAGAGACAGGGTCTGGCTCTTGCTCAGGCTGGTATCAAACTCCTGAGATACTACCCAAAGCATAAGATCACAATGCCCGGCTATTTTTAGAGATGAGATCTTGCTCTGGCTCAGGCTGGTCATGAGCTCCAGCAATCCACCTGCCCTGGACTCTCAGAGTGCTAGGGTTACAGGAGTGAGCTATGGCACCCAGCCAAAATCTTGTTTTATTTACGTTAAGTGTGTCAGACATTGTTCTATGACTCGTTTCATCTTTTACAAAGCCACTAAGAAATAGGAACTGCAGCAGAATGCCCATAGTTGGCCAGCTTCCTACACGGCCACTGGACATGCACCACATGTACGTATCAGTACCACAGGCCTTGTTTCTTTTTTTTTTTTGAGACAGAGTTTCACTCACTATGTCACCCTTGGTTGAGTGCACTGGCATCACAGCTCATAGCAACCTCAAACGCTTGGGCTTAAGTGATTCTCCTGCCTTAGTGTCCCAAGTAGCTGGAACTATAGGAGCCTGCCATAACATCCAGCTATTTTTTTTGTTGTAGTTGTCATTGTTGTGAGCCTGAGCCTGGCCTTGTTTCTTATATTGACCACCTCCATATGTTAACCAGTTTGTTACAGTCCCTTGGGTGATGAGCTTAACTGAGGTTCTACTGTATTTTTCTGTTTTACAAATGAGAAGACCCTGGCCAAGAGGTTCAGTACTTGCCCTAAGTCAGACATCTAACTGGTGAGGCTGGGATCCAAACCTAGAGGCTTGGTGCTGAAACCCATAGTCTTAGATACTGTGATTTTCTTAAGTAAATGACTTAAATGGTACCTAGTGTTCTGTTATGAATTTGCCACAACTTACCCTGACAACTATAGTTCAGTTATTTCTAAAAATTTGCAAATGCTAATATAAATGTGCTGCAATAAACATTTTTATGCCTACCTCCCTGTACAGATGTATGAGAATTTCTTGAAGGTATACACACATTTTAATTTTATAGATATTGTCAAACTGCTCCCAGCAGAATACTTCTACCCAAAGCATAATATCACAATACCCATTTCTTTACAATCTAAATCAAAATTTGAACTGCCATATTTTTAGACTTTTGTCAATTTGATGGGTATGAAACACTGTCTTATTTTAATGTGCTTTCTCTTAGTTA